TCTATCTATATACCTGCATGCTTGCACTTGTTAGGGTATGATCACAGTATTGTTTGTTCTCTGTATATAACTCTGCATGTGAACTGGCCTTGTGGCCCTTTGCTTGTGCTCGGACTGTGTGGTGACTCTGTGATCCACCCTGAGCTTGCTTTGCTTTTCTTGACTGGTCTTGTGACCATTACTTGTTCTGGCTATCCCCCACTTCGCCTATGGGGGTGTGTCAAACATATATGCTTAGTTATATCTAGGCTTAGTTCATGTGTTTACATTTGTCTAGGGTATAGTGGGTTTAGCCTTAGGGGGTACACAATTTCCTCAACATTCTACTTGTACCCTTCCTTGCTTCCTAGTCATTCATTCTCGCCTAAGATTCTAACACTGAGGAGTTAGCACACCACACAAAGGGAAAGGAAATAATAGAGTACAACTGGGTGACGATTCGGAAACTTGTCTGCGTGTTTCCGCACATGCATACTCACCGCACCAGCCATGTTGAAGGACATGGCACCTATTCTTGCTCATTGTCACGCTCGTCGTCTGCAAGATTGACTTGGCCAACAGCAACAGAGCAACACTTGAATGCCTGGGAATGCAACGCCTTAGTGAGATAGTCCGCGAGTTGCTCGCTCGTCGGAATGTACGTAAGTGCAAGCTTCTTGCGCTTCACCATCTGCTGCAGCCAGACGTAATGCCTCTCCAAGTGCTTGAGACTCCCCTTCAGCCCCAGCCCTTCCGCAACAGCAATCGCATATGAGTTGTCCACGTGGATGACGGTTGGCACCCCAGCATCGAGAAGCCGAAATTCAGCTAGAAGAAAGCGCAAACGTCGCGCCTCCTTGCCGGCCTCCGTTGCAGCAATGTATTCGGATTCCATTGAGGATAGCGTCATGCACTTGGCTCATGAAACAGTAGCTCCAGCGAGCACGAAAAGGTATCCGCTGGTACTGCTGCGCTTTTGCCGGTCACCTGCGTCATCGGAATCCGCATACCCCACCAGGCGCAAAGTATCCGGTCCACCACCGAATTCGAGGGCGAATCGCGGGTGTTCACCATGTAGTCAATGCAGCGGTCCAGCTCCCTCCAGTGCTTGTCACTACGAATCGTCAACCCCGAGCCCAACTTGCTGCATGCGTACGCAACGTCGGGACGGGTCGTGGTCGCGGAAAACTGGAGCGAACCCACTTTCTGGCAGTACTCCTCCTCTTCACGCGCTTGGTATTCTTCGTCGTCAAATGTCAACTCGGTGTACGCATCAACCGAGATGGGCGTTTTCGGGCAGCGACCTGTCCACTCTTCGTCCACAAAGTGGGGACGCAGCTTGTCTACATATGCCCTTTGGTGTAGCCACAGCTTGCGCGCAGACTTGTCCCGTACTATCTCCAGCCCCAAATACTTCTGCACGGGATTGATTTCCCGCAGCTCGAATGCGTTTTGCAGAAGCCCACGAAGGTCCTTCAGCATCTCGAGACTGCTGCTCGCGGCTAGCAAGTCGTCAACGTACACCAGCAGCTAGCAACCGACTCCATCAGCACTGAGCTTGAAGTAGAGCGCTTCGTCAACCTGACTCTTGCTCCATCCGCCGCCAATGAGTATACTGTCGAGTGCTGAATACCACTTGATTGGACTCTGTTTGAGTCCGTACAAGCTTTTCAGAAGCTTGCACATGCGAGATGTACCGTCATTCAAGTACACCGGTTGCTCCATGTACAAAACTCGGTCCAACTTGCTCTGCAGGTATGCGTTTTTCATGTCCAGCTGCATGACGTGCAGATCAAGTACTGCGACAATGGAGAGGAAAATGCGTAGCGTAACGTAGCTGCCGACCGGTGAATATGTCTCATCATGATTCGCACCATAGATCTGCGTAAATCCCTTCACGACGAGACGTGCCTTTTCGCGGGCGACCGTGTTGTCGCTGTTGTACTTTGTCGTAAGAACCCACCGATTCTTCATGACATTGACGCCGCGCGGTCGAGGCACCAGCTCCCATGTTCCGTTGGCGAGGAGGTTGCGCATCTCCTCCTCCATTACTGCCTTCACCGCCTTCCCCTTCCAGCTCGCTAGCGCTTCCTTGACGGTCATCGTGGAGATATCCCATCGTCGTTCAGGGTCAGCGTGCATATCGAGATCCAGTTCTGGCAGCGTGGTATCCGCTTTCACGTCATCAAGAATCGAGTTAGCGAATACCGGGCACACATCGGCCCACTTCTTTGGAGGCACACCAAAGTTGGAGCGGGTGGAATGCCGAGACGGCAGCTTGAATTCCACCACATCGCTTGAGGAACTGTCTCCAGATGACTCCCCTGCATCGTTGTTGTCTTCGCCGATGACCTCCACAACGTCGCTTGACGAGCCATCGCTGATCTGCTCCCCTGTCAACCGCTCCCCTGTCACCTGCTCCCCTGCCTGTTTCTGCACGCCAGGTACGCCGTTCTCAGAAGAAGCAGCAGGTTGACCGTCGACAATGCCGATGCGCGGCGCCGAAGGTAGCGCGTCATGTCTCCCCTCATTGTCGTTGGTCGACTTGGATAGGGTGTCGAGGGTGGGACGAGAGATGCTTTTCGCGGCTGGAAGCGGAGAGGAGATGACAGCAGGCGCGGATGAGGTTGACGGTTTGGTGACAGGCACCACACGCGGGTATACAGGTGGAAGGGTAGAGCAGGGGATGGACGTGGGGACGTGCGGAGGTGCAGGTGCTGAAGCCAGGGCGTCAAGCGGATCGTCAATCTCATCAGCGAGAAGACCCGGTGAAGGAGCGGAGACCGCTGAAGTGGATACTTTGTGTACACTTCCTAGCGCGCGCTCGGCTTTCCAGTCATCCAGTGACTGGGTTTCGTAAAATATCACCTCCACAGTGGTGACGATGCGGTTTGCAGCGAGATCCAGCACCTCCCAACCTTTGCTCGCGGGAGAAACGCCAAGATGAAGACTCCAGCTGGCTTTCGGCGCAAGCTTCCCACCGCGCTGATGTTGCGGGACCATGTATTTCACCATGCAACCCCACACCCGAGCCATGGTAAGGTCCGGCTTTGTTTTGTACATCAGCGTATACGGTGTTGCTCCCGAAGGTAGAGAAGCGCGCTCAATGCCGTTACGCACACATACAGCTTGGCGAATTGTGTCGCGCCCCTGCACGGGCTGAATAGTGCTGTTGAATCCACGCACATGGTGAACGTCGCCATCCACATTCATCTCCACGAATGCCTCCCGTGTCCCCATGCGGTGATGAGAACAGCCACTGTCAAGGAGGACCACAGTCGGATTTGCTTACACAGCTGCAGCGACCGCCTGTAAGTCCTCGCCAACTGCCGGAGCCAAAAAAATGGTCAGTTCCACAAATGCGTCCCTCACCACGCCGACCATCGAACACGGCGGTTGCCCGTCGTGGTGCACATCGTCATTTGGAGCCTCCTTCACACCCTTTCCGCACAAACCCGCTACACAAACAAGCCCTTTTATCCCAATGGTCTAGTGGTTGGGATTCTAACATGGTATTAAGAGCCGGTCCTTCCTTGACCGCTTCCTTCTTGGGCCCACCACCTGCTGCCCTACGCGCCACCCTCGTGTGGCCCTTCTCTCGACATTAGGCCCCGGCCCGTCACTCGTGCCCGTCGCCCCTAGGCCCCGGCCCCGTCGCCCCTAGGCCCCGGCCCCGTCGCCCCTAGGCCCGTCGCCCCTCGGCCCCGTCGCCCCTAGGCTCCGGCCCCCGGCCCGTCGCTCGCGCCCGCCGCCCCTAGGCCCGTCGGCACCGTCGCCCCTAGACCCCGGCCCCGTCGCCCCTCACCCCGTCGCCCCTAGGCCCGTCGTCCCTAGGCCGGCCCGTCGCCCCTAGGCCCCGGCCCCGTCGCCCCTCGCCCCGTCGCCCCTAGGCCCGTCGCCCCTAGGCCGGCCCGTCGCCCCTAGGCCCCGGCCCCGTCGCCCGTCGCTCGCGCCTGAAGCCCCTAGGCCCCGGCCCCTAGCCCGTCGCCCCTCGGCCCGTCGCCTCTAGGCCCCGGCCCCGGCCAGTCGCCTGTCGCCCGTTGCCCCTCGGCCCATCGCCCTGGCCCGTCGCCCCTAGGCCTGTCGCCACGGCCCGTCTCCCCTAGGCCCGGCCTGTCGCCCAACGCCACTAGGCCCGTCGCCCCCGTTGCCCGTCGCTCCCCTAGGCCCAGCCCCGTCGCTCGACGCCCCTAGGCCCCGGCCCCTAGCCCGTCGGTTTCTACCCGTCGCACGCCTCGAGCGCGCGTCGGTTTCTTCCTGCCCACGCGCAGCTCATTCCTGCCCATGCACAGATCTTGGAGAGAGTGTGAGGGGGTGGCGGATGTGCCTCAGCAGCAGCAGCTCCCGCCACGGCTCCTCCTCTCTCACGACCGCGTCTGCTGCTGCGGGGAGAGGGTGTGAGGGGGTGGCGGATGTGCCTCAGCAGCAGCAGCTGCTGCCACGCCTCCTCCCCTCTCACGGCTGCGCCTGTTGCTGTTGGGGGAGTGGGGGAGAGGGTGTGAGGGGGTGGCGGATGTTTTTTGTGCGACCTGCGGTCGCCCACGCAGCCCCTGCACCGCCCCCCCGCCCCCCCCCCCCCCCTTCTCCTCCGTCCCCCTGCTGATCGTACAGCAGGGGGGGGGGGAGGGTATGGGGGTGGCGGGGGTGGCGAACGACGGGTTCCTGCCCGTCGCGCGCCCTGCAGTCGCATGCGCAGCTCATTCCCCGCCCCCGCCCCCCATGGGGAGGGGGGGAGAGGGTGTGAGGGGGTGGCGGATGTGCCTCAACAGCAGCAGCTGCCACCACGCCTCCTCCTCTCTCACGGCCGCGTCCGCTGCTGCGGGGAGAGGTTGTGAGGGGGTGGCGGATGTGCCTCAGCAGCAGCAGCTACTGCCACGCCTCCTCCCCTCTCACGGCTGCGCCTGCTGCTGTGGGGGAGTGGGGGAGAGGGTGTGAGGGGGTGGCGGATGTTTTTCGTGCGACCTGCGGTCGCCCACGCAGCCCCTGCACCGCCTCCCGCCACCCCCCCCCCCCCCCCCCTATCAGCAGGGGGGGGAGGGTATGGGGGTGGCGAGGGTGGCGAATGACGGGTTTCTGCCCGTCGCACGCCCTGCTGTTGCCCGAGCAACTTCTACACTGCCCCCCCCCCCCCCTTCTCCTCCATCCCCCTGCTGCCCATTGCACCCCCTCGTGAGTGCCCCTCGCACCCCCTCGTGACTGCCCCTTGCACTCCCTCGTGAGTGCCCCTCGCACCCCCTTGTGGGTGCCCCTCGCACCCCCTCGTGAGTGCCCCTTGCACCCCCTCGTGAGTGCCTCTTGCACCCCCTCATGGGTGCCCCTCGCACCCCCTCCTGGGTGCCCCTCGCACCCCCTCGTGAGTGCCCCTTGCACCCCCTCATGGGTGCCCCTGGCACCCCCTCGTGGGTGCCCCTGGCACCCCCTCGTGAGTGCCCCTTGCACCCCCTCGTGGGTGCCCCTCGCACCCCCTCGTGAGTGCCCCTTGCACCCTCTCGTGAGTGCCCCTTGCACCCCCTCGTGGGTGCCCCTCGCACCCCCTCGTGAGTGTCCCTTGCACCCCCTCGTGAGTGCCCCTTGCACCCCCTCGTGGGTGCTCCTTGCGCCCCCTCGTGAGTGCCCCTTGCGCCCCCTCGTGAGTGCCCCTTGCACCCCCTCGTGGGTGCCCCTCGCACCCCCTTGTGGGTGCCCCTTACACTCCCTCGTGAGTGCCCCTCGCACCTCCTCGTGGGTGCCCCTCGCACCCCCTCGTGAGTGCCTCTTGCACCCCCTCGTGGGTGCCCCTTGCACCCCCTCGTGAGTGCCCCTTGCACCCCCTCGTGAGTGCCCCTTGCACCCCCTCGTGGGTGCCCCTCGCACCCCCTCGTGAGTGCCCCTTGCACCCCCTCGTGAGTGCCCCTTGCACCCCCTCGTGGGTGCCCCTCGCACCCCCTCGTGAGTGCCCCTTGCACCCCCTCGTGAGTGCCCCTTGCACCCCCTCGTGGGTGCCCCTTGCACCCCCTCGTGAGTGCCCCTCGCACCCCCCTCGTGGGTGCCCCTTGCACCCCCTCGTGAGTGCCCCTTGCACCCCCTCGTGAGTGCCCCTTGCACCCCCTCGTGGGTGCCCCTCGCACCCCCTCGTGAGTGCCCCTTGCACCCCCTCGTGAGTGCCCCTCGCACCCCCTCGTGGGTGCCCCTCGCACCCCCCTCGTGGGTGCCCCTTGCACCCCCTCGTGAGTGCCCCTTGCACCCCCTCGTGAGTGCCCCTTGCACCCCCTCGTGGGTGCCCCTCGCACCCCCTCGTGAGTGCCCCTTGCACCCCCTCGTGAGTGCCCCTTGCACCCCCTCGTGGGTGCCCCTAGCACCCCCTCGTGAGTGCCCCTTGCACCCCCTCGTGAGTGCCCCTTGCACCCCTTCGTGGGTGCCCCTCGCACCCCCTCGTGAGTGCCCCTTGCACCCCCTCGTGGGTGCCCCTCGCACCCCCTCGTGGGTGCCCCCCGCACCCCCTCGTGAGTACCCCTTGCACCCCCTCGTGAGTGCCCCTCGCACCCCCCTCCAAACCCCCCCCCCCCCCCTCCCCTTCTCCCCCATCCCCCTGCTATGGGTGCAGCAGTGGGGGTGGGGGGTATGGGGGTGGCGGGATCTTGGTGGGTAAGGGGGTGGCAGGAATGGATCTGCAGCACCACCCCCCCTTCTCCTCCATTCCCCTGCTGCGAGTGCAGCAGTGGGGGGGAGGGGATCTGCAGCACCAGCCCCACCCCCCCCCCCGCCCTCCCTTCTCCTCCATCCCTCTGCTGCGGGTCCAGCAGTGGGGGGGAGGGGATCTGCAGCACCAGCCCCACCCCCCCCCACCCTCCCTTCTCCTCCATCCCTCTGCTGCGGGTGCAGCAGTGGGGGTGGGGGGTATGGGGGTGGCGGGATCTTGGGGGGTATGGGGGTGGCGGGATCTTGGAGGGTATGGGGGTGGCGGGTGTGAGGAGCCAGCAGCCGCCCCTCCTCCTCTCTCTCTCACGGCCGCGCGTACCACTGTGGGGGGAGGGTGAGGCGGTGGCTTGTTGACCTTTTTGCTCGTCTGCCGTAGCCTTGCTCTGCTTGTACTTGCACCTGTATATCTTATGTAACCTCTTGGACTGGACTTGTGGCCGCTTGCTAGTGCTCAGAGTGCGTGGTGATCTTGAGATCCACCCTGAGCTTGCTTTGCTTTGTTTCTTTTCCTGACTGGTCTTGTGACCACTTTGTTGTGTTTGCTATCCCCCACTTCGCCTATGGGGGTGTGTCAAATTATAAGTGTACTGCAATCTAGGCTGTAGTGGGTTTAGCTTTAGGGGGTACAGTAAATTGCTCGACACTTCATTGTATCCCCCCTCCTTGCCCTAATCCACATCATTCCTTCCTACTAAGCTACCTATCTTGACAATCTCCACAAACAAAGAAGTATCGTTGAGAGTTGCGCTTTCCGCCACCGGAACGCTCGTCACTCTTGGTCGTCTTCGCGCGGTTGACTTGTTTGTCATTGTCGCCTCCTCCGCGCGATTTCCCCCAATTATGTTGCGGCCGCTGCTGCTTTGACGCAACATAGTTGACTTGAGGGAGAAGCTGCTCCTTGCACCGCTCGGATTCAGGTGTGAACTCCTCTTCAATTACGTAGCTCGAAAGCGTATCCTCGTCGAGCTCTTCTCGTACACCTGGGAGTTTTACCATGCGTTGAAGGAGATTGTAGCTTGCAGGCAGACCTTTGATGACATGCGTGACATACGAAGACATTGAGTAGTCCACGCCAGCCATACGCTGATCTGCAAGAATATGTTGTGCGCGATTGCAGTATGCGGTTGCGCTTTCATGCTCCCCCATCTCCAGATTTGTCAACAGTTGCTCCAGCTGGCCGAATTAAAGGTCCGCCATTGCCTTGTAGGTCTTCATAATGAATTGCCAAGCTTGAAAACCAGCGTCCACCCGAAGACGGCATGGCAGCAACTTGGACGACCAGTGAGCAACACCTTGAGATTACCATAAACGTCAACAGCTGTGCATAATGAAACTGTGCGCGCCGTCCAGCGTCATCCTCAGGCGGCACCTCCACCGTGCCGTCAACGAACTTCTTCAGCAGTGTGATCTCCAACTGCGGCTCAATAGACTCGACCCACGTTGTCAAGTCGTGACGCCCTTCAAGCAGTTTTGGCATGACGATCTTGTCGGGTGAGAACTTGAAGTATCTGTATTCCGGAGCGATTCAACCATCGCGTATCGTTGACGCATTTGCCGTCCACAAGGGTCCGCCACCACTTGGTCGTGCAGGGTTACGACGACCGGGCGCGTCACTACGCGCACTCGCTACAGCGGCTGATCGAAGGACTTTCGCTTGCGTTCCACCGACGCTTGCGGTGTGCACTCTGACGGCCCCTCGCATTTCACCGCGCGTCACTCTTGCGCCTTCATTGCCATCGATGTTGACGTTTTCGCCTTTAGCACGGGGAGAAGCGGGCCCAATTTCTGCCTCAGCGCGACGAGGTGGGTGGTCGTGAGCCCACTTCGAACGAGCTCCTTCAATCATCAGCTCCAGATCTGCGTCGCTGATTTCGCCACGACTGTGGCGCTCCCGCAAAGCAGCGACCTGCGCCTCCAGGTCCATGACTTCCGTAGCGGCGCCCTCGCCAACCATACGGAATCGAAGTGGCTGCCGGCCCAAGGTTGACAACTTTGTCAATCGTATTCGAGGCTATCTGATGTTGGCGTATGCGTCTACACTCACCGCACCATGCGGAGAATAGGCGATTGTGGGAGAGCCTAGGCGCTGAGTTGCACGATGAGAGAGAGAGGTGCAAGTTTTCCGTGTACGGACTTGTTGGAGATCGGATACTTGTATTCGGATAACAGTGTGCTTGGTATGCAGTGTCAGATTTATATGACATAGCTACTGTAGGCTATAGTGGGGTAGCACATATGGGGTACAGTTTTCTAGGTTTTACATTTGTACCCAACTTTCCCTTAGTCCATCCATTTTTCGTTTCTATTCTAACATGGTATCGAGCAGGTTCCCTTGTGGGAACTGTTCCTAGGGCCCACCAATTCGACATTTTTTTCTGCCCGGAGCGCGCTCAGTCCTAGCCCGAGTCGCGCTCCCCCCTCTCTTTTTTTCTCGCCCCGTCGCGCCGCCCTAGCGGCCCTGTCGCCTGCCTTGCGGCCCTCGCGCCGCCCTTCCTGGCCCCGACCCGCCGCCCGGCGGCCTCGTCGCCTACCCCGCGGCCATCGCGCCGCCCTTACCCGGCCCCGATCCGCCGCCCTGCGGCCTCGTCGCCTACCCAGCGGCCCTCGCGCCGCCCTGCGGCCCTGACGCCGCCCTTTCCGGCCCCAGCGCCTACCTGCGGCCCCGACGCCTACCTGTGCGGCCCCGGCGCCTACCTCCTGGCCCCGCCACCTACCCGCGGCCCCGCCACCTACCTGTGCGGCCCCGCCACCTACCTGCGGCCCCGCCACCTACCTGCGGCCCCGCCACCTACCAGCGGCCCCGCCACCTACCCGCGGCCCCGCCATCTACCTGTGCGGCCCCGCCACCTACCTGCGGCCCCGCCACCTACCAGCGGCCCCGCCACCTACCCGCGGCCCCGCCACCTACCTGTGCGGCCCCGCCACCTACCTGCTGGCCCCGCCACCTACCTGCTGGCCCCGCCACCTACCTTTGCGGCCCCGCCGCCTCCTCTCAGCGGCCCCGCCGCCTCCTCCCAGCGGCCCCGGACGCCGCCCTCTCAGCGGCCCCGCCGAGCCGCCCAGCAGCCGAGCCGCCCAGCAGCCGAGCCGCCCAGCCGCCGAGCCGCCCAGCAGCCGAGCCGCCCAGCAGCCGAGCCGCCCAGCAGCCGAGCCGCCCAGCAGCCGAGCCGCCAAGCCGCCCTGCAGCCGAGCCGCCCGAGCCGCCCTGTCCGGTAAGAGCAGCGCCTCTTTCACATCACTGCCCTCACCCTACTGTTTGCGCTGCTAGTCTACTGCTGTCATGGCTACCCCTAGTGTCCTATCTTTTGACGCTGAGGGTCGGGCCATTGACTTTGACATCTGGATAGATGACCTGCAGCTTTTCTTATAGTGCGATAGGGCAGACGGCCTCTCCCTCTTTGACCTCACTTCTGGTGCCTCTCCTGCCCCCACTGCTGATGCTGACGCCACTGTTCGCTCACAGTGGGCCACTCGCGATGCTGCTGCACGTCTTGCTGTGCGTCGCCACCTGCCTACCTCTGAGCGTGCGCACTTTAGCCAGCACAAGAGTGCTCACACCTTGTACGACGCTGTAGTTGCGCGCTACTCCTCCCCTGCCACTGCTGCACTGAGCCGCCTCATGCTACCGTACCTCTTCCTTGACCTTGCTGCCTTTCCCACAGTCGCTGACCTCATTACGCACCTCCGCACTAGTGACACTCGCTACCGCGCTGCGCTTCCTGCTGAGTTCTGCGCCAAGAACCCCCCCCCCATGTACATCACCCTCTACTACATAGTCACCCGTCTCCCTGACTCCCTTCGCGTAGTCAGGGACCACTTCCTCTCAGTTTGCCCCACCACTCTCACCGTTGACCTCCTCGAGAAGGCCCTCCTAGCAGCAGAAAAGAGCATAGTAGCTGTAGGAGCCTCTCGTGGTGACCCTCGCACCCCCATCTTTGAGGGGTGTTCCCCCTCCCCTCTTTTGCCCTCTGTTGCCTCTGCTGCTGCGGCTGACCTCGTTGGTCTCGAGTCGGTCGGCGCTGCGTCTGCCCCGAGCGGGAGACGCCGCACTGGCAAGGGCAAGGGGGGCAAGGGTGCTGGAGGGGCTGGCGGGGGTGGCGGAGGTAGCGGTGGCGGCAGTGGAGGGGGTGGGGGTGGTGGTGGGAGTGGTGGCGGGGGTGGAGGTGTCGGTGGCGGCAGTGGAGGCGGAGGCGGCGGCGGCGGTGGCGGTGGGAGCGGAGGTGGCGGAGGTGGCGGCGGTGGAGGAGGCGGCGGCGGAGGAGGTGGAGCTGGTCGGGGTGGCGCTGGGCAGAGGGTCGGCTCCGGTGGTGGTCAGCGCCAGCAGCAGCAGCAGCAGCGGCAGCAGCGCACTCGTGACATCCCCCCCCCTCAGCAGCTCCGTGAGTGGTACGCTGCACGCCAGCGGGGTGGGGGTACTGGTCCGTGCACCTACGTCCTACGCACAGGCGACCGCGCGGGTGAGCAGTGCGGGGGTGCGCACTCCACCCAGCGCTGCTTTGGCCGCCTGACGGACGCTTGGTGTCACCAGTTCCCTGAGGCCACTGAGATCCCCCGCTGGGGCGAGCTGTCTAGGGCGGGTGTAGCTGTCTTTGACCTTGACTTTGATGCTATTCTTGCTGCCATGTATGCTGTGACTATTAGTGATGAGGGTGACTGTTACCGGTGTTTTCCGCCCGACCCGGGCATTGAGACTGCTGCTCTAGGTACTGGTGAGGCTGCTGCTCTAGGTGCTAGCGAGGCTGCTGCTCTAGGTGCTCGTGCGTCTGCTCACTCAGGTGCTGGTGAGTCTGCTCTCTCAGGTACTGCGTCGGCTTCGGCCTCCCACACCTTCACCCTTGACTCGGGGGCTTCTCGCTCCTTCTTTCGAGACCGCACCACACTCACGCCGCTTGGCCGGCCAGTTGCAGTCTCTCTGGCAGACCCCTCTGGGGGTCCTGTCCTTGCTCACTTCTCCACTGTCCTCCCGTGTCCGGCGGCCCCCTCTGGCACCCTGTCTGGTCTTTACCTCCCCTCGTTCTCTACAAACTTGGTGAGTGGTGCTGACCTACAGGATGCGGGGGTTCACCAGTTCACTCCTGCGAGTCAGCAGGTGACCCACTGCACGGACGCTCGGACAGGCCGACACCTGGCCACGTTTACACGTCGGCCGGGGTCGAGCCTGTACACACTGACCACTGCGTCTCCTCCAGTCACTGCGTCTGGTCAGGTAGCTGCGTCGGGTCAGGTGTTTGCTGCAGCGTCCAGGTCTGGTCCTGAGTCTGCCCCCTGTTCGTGTCGCCTCCTGTCGCACGAGACTCTTCTCTGGCACCACCGCCTTGGTCACCCCTCCCTGCTTCGTCTCCGAGGCATGGCCTCCCGTGTCCTTGTCTCTGGTCTTCCCCGGTCCCTCCCTCCCCTTCCTCCGGGGCCCGGCCCTACCTGCGTCCCTTGTGTCGAGGGGCGGCAGCGGGCTGCCCCTCACTCCTCCCAGTTTCCTCCGACAGAGGCCCCGCTGCAGACGCTTCACATGGACGTGTGGGGCCCGGCCCGCGTCCGTGGACAGGGTCACGAGCGCTACTTCCTACTGGTGGTTGACGACTACTCGCGTTACACCACGGTCTTCCCCTTGCGCAGCAAGGGTGATGTCACTGAGGTGTTGATCGACTGGATCCGCGCAGCTCGTCTCCAGCTCAGGCAGAGCTTCGGCTCGGACTTTCCTGTTCTGCGTCTGCACTCTGACAGAGGTGGAGAGTTCTCCTCTGGCCTTCTGCGAGCCTACTGTCGTGCACGAGGCATCCGCCAGACCTTCACGCTTCCGGACTCTCCACAGCAAAATGGGATTGCTGAGCGCCGCATTGGCATGGTCATGGACGTCGCCCGTACGTCCATGATGCATGCGGCTGCCCCCCATTTTCTGTGGCCGTTTGCGGTTCGGTACGCGGCGCATCAGATCAACCTTCACCCCGGGGTCTCCATGCCGGAGACCTCCCCAGCTTTGCTGTGGACGGGGAAGGTTGGCGATGCGTCTGCGTTCCGTGTCTGGGGATCTCGGGCGTTTGTCCGCGACTTGTCTGCGGACAAGCTGTCCCCTCGTGCTGCTCCTTGCGTCTTCCTTGGCTTCCCCCCTGACGCGCCAGGGTGGCAGTTCTACCACCCCACCTCTCGCCGTGTTCTGTCCTCCCAGGACGTCACGTTTGACGAGTCGGTCCCCTACTACCGCCTCTTCCCCTACCGCACTCCGTCCCTCCCCCCGCCACCGCTCTTCCTTGTGCCAGGTCCCCCCCCGGTAGACCCCCTCCCCCCTCAGGGTCCTGCCCCTTCAGGTGTGTCCCAGGTAGACGCAGTCGAGCCTGTCGAGGTTACTGGTGACTCTGGTGCTGCTGAGGGTGCTGAGCCTGGGGGTGCTGACTCTGGGGGTGCTGAGCGTGTGGGTGCTACGCCTGGGGGTGCTGAGCCTGAGGGTGCTACTACTGGGGGTGCTGAGCCTGGGGGTGCTGAGCCTGGGGGTGCTACTACTGGGGGTGCTGAGCCTGGGGGTGCTGAGCCTGGGGGTGCTACGCCTGGGGGTGCTGAGCCTGGGGGTGCTACGCCTGGAGGTGCTGAGCCTGGGGGTGCGGAGCCTGAGGGAGCTGGGCCTGCTCGTGTGGCGTCTGGAGGTGCTGAGCCTGGAGGTTCTCCGGGTGCTTCGTCTCGGCGGGAGCCACTCTCTCCACAGGAGCTGCGAGAGTGGTTTGCCCGACGCTGGCGGCGTGCTGCTGGAGCTGGAGGTTCTTCGACTGCTGCGGGTGCTGGTGCCGTGGGTCCCGGAGGTGCTCGTACTGGGAGTACTGGAGCTGCTGGGCCTGCGGGTACGCCTGGAGCTGGAGCTGCTGAGGGTGTTGGCGCTGAGGCTACTGCTGTCGGTCCTGGAGGCGGTCCTACTGGGGGTGCTACTGGTGCTGCTGGAGGTACTGGAGCTGGAGGTGCTGCTGGCGC